ACCGACTTGGATTTCAAAGACGCTTATCACACCAGTTCTAAGTTTGCCTATGGCAAATATTATCAGAGTGATGGTTACTTGTTTTATGAACATAAACTATGTATACCTAACACTTCTATGCGTGACTTGATTGTCAGGGAGGCACACGGAGGAGGCTTGATGGGATATTTTGGAGTTCTTAAAACACTAAGTGTGGTCCAAGACCATTTTTACTGGCCGCACCTCAGAAAGGACGTAGAGAGAGTTTGCCAAAGGTGCACGGTTTGCAAACTAGCCAAAGGCCGCAGCCAGGGCGCAGGAATGTACACTCCATTACCCATCCCTACCGAGCCTGGACCGACATCTCAATGGACTTTGTCCTCGGGTTACCTAGGACCCGCCGAGGTAAGGATTCTATCTTTGTCATAGTAGATAGGTTCTCTAAGATGGCACACTTTGTTCCTTGCCACAAAACCGATGATGCTTCCAATATAGCCGACCTGTTCTTTAAGGAAATTGTTCGTTTACATGGAGTACCTAGAACCATGGTGTCAGATCGGGATGCTAAGTTTTTTAGTTACTTTTTGAAAACGTTGTGGGCTAAGTTAGGAACTAAACTGTGTTTTTCCACAACCTGTCACCCTCAGACCGACGGTCAAACCAAAGTGGTCAATAGGACCTTGTCAGCCCTCTTGAGATCGGTCATAAAAAAGAACCTTAGGACTTGGGAGGAATGTTTACCTCACGTTGAGTTTGCCTATAACCGAACTGTTCATTTAACTACTTTGTTTTCACCATTTCAGTTAGTTTATGGTTTTAATCCTCTTACCCCTTTGGATCTAACCCCTTTACCAATGACTGAGCGTGAAAACATGGACGGGAAAAAGAAAGCCGATCTGGTGAAGAAGATGCATGAAAAAGCAAGGCAAAACATCGAAAGAAAGACGGAGCAATTCCAGAAGTACGCCAACAAAGGAAATACCAAAAAGATGTTCGAGCCCGGAGACCAAGTGTGGATCTACCTAAGGAAAGAGAGATTCCCGGAAGAAAAGAAGTCTAAGTTGAAGCCAAGAGTGGACGGACCATTCACTATCCTAGAGCGGATCAACGACAATTTTTACAAGATCGACCTCCAAGGTTAGTACTCAGTTAGCTCAAGTTTCAATATTGCTGATATCATTCCTTTTCATGCAGATGAAGCCGACTTGAGGACAAGTCCTTTTCAAGAGGGGGGGGGGATGATAGAATCATGGAACCGGAGGGAACAAAGGACGAGGTGCGAACCGAGGTTCAGACCGGAACACAGGACCAAATGGCCGACCTAAGCGAAGTCGAGGATGGGGCACAAGAACAAGGAGTCGACCTTTACGACGTCCTGGCCATGCCAACTGGACCAATGACCAGGTCGCGTACCAAGAAGCTTACGGGAGCAATCCAACAAGTTCTCACCGAGCTAAGGAACCAAGGCCGAGCTGACGACCTAACACCCGTTCATAAAGTCATGACCGTCATCATGTACTCTGGTCCGAACTGACCTGGTCGGGGTGTTGTGTTAATACTCTTTTTCCTTACATTCGGTTTTGTCCCACTGGGTTTTCCGAATGGGGTTTTAACGAGGTTAATGCACACCCATCTCGCGATCACGGTTCGATTTGCGGCCAAGTATAACGGTCAAGGAGTTCAAGAGTCTAGCGAGAGGATGCGAAGGATCAGCTGGAAGTCTGATCGTTATTCAACGCATCTTTAGATTCATTTAGTTTCATTTAATGTCTTTTAATTCTCTGTGTATGACCGATGGTCTCCTTTCGCCTCTATATAAAGGCACCAATGTACTCAGAACCATTATCACTTATCTTTTATAAAATTTCTCTTTGAGTTTTCTCTTTTGTTCTCTAAGAACTTTTCGATATTTTGGTGGTTAGCCATTGATCGATTTCTGGTTTATCAAGTAGTTTCATCCTACTTGACGCAGCCTTCGATTCCAAAGTGAGAGAGAGAGTTGTAGTCGTATTTGGGGCTTAGAGAATTTTGGGACTTGTCTCACACCCTAACATCTGGTATCGCAACCCTTGATCATTTTGTCCATCCCCTCGTTTCCAACCTCTTCTTTTAGAATTGGGTCTAAGGAATTTCGAGCATTGCTCACGCCTTAGCATATCTTTCACGATCCGGTTTGGATTCAAGGCCTATCAACCTCCACCGAGCCAAGTGTGTGACAATTCTAGGACGGTCTTCTATCATAGTGTAAGTTGCTGAATTACAAAGACCTAGCAAAAGAACCTCTACAGAGTCGAGACTAAGAGTGGAACCAATACTCTGTTTTGGTATGATAATTGGATTACATTAGGTCCTTTTCATAGATCTTACTAGACAAGATGGATAATAAATTTGGGTATTCCAGCTTATGCTTTGGTCTCTACAGTTTTGGAAACCTATCCAACAAGACGATGTTGGGGAGGGTTGTTGAACCAAATAGGACATGAAATTCAAAAAACGAGGGAAAAAGGTCAGGTGAAGAAGATCAATCTCTTTGGCATTCGAAGAGTGGTAATTACAAGCCAAATTCTACTCAAAAGACACTTGGCTACAGATCTGAGTTTATCAACAAAAGGTGAACTGGACTAAAGGGTTGTGGTTAGAATCCTAAAATTTACTTTCATTTCATGCTTGTAATCTATAATTGACTGAGAACGGATGATAGGATGAGAAAATGGAATCCATGTATTTCAGGAGAGTGTGTGTTATGTGCGACTCATCTCGAAACAAAAAACCATCTATTTTTCTAATGTCCATACACTTAAAATTATTTTGAGAAAACCTCGCTTGGGACCTCTTTTAACAGAGCTTCACCTTCAACTGGGATGCGATTTTTTCTATCCTCTCAGCACATGTGGACTACTCGATGGCTACACTAATCATGGAGAGATTAATCAGATGATAAAAACTCGAATTATCCCTTAGTTATAAAAAATATATCATGGTTCATAATGGTGACCATTAGAAGAACAATAGGAATGACCAGAAAATGAATGAAAATAAATAAAATAATAGAAATATATTTTTTTTATTGTTCTATAAAAATAAGGAATGAAAAAGAATTATGGATACAAAAAGTTACTTATAAATAATGTATTTCCTTAGGCATGAAAATTTATTCATTGCGGAGATAATTATGTACATGTACGGCTGTTGATAGTTATGCTCATTCCTATTGTTCTTCTAATTGTTACAATTAGGAGCCAAACTACGATTTTGAATTTAGAAACACATTTGCTTTTGATGTGTACATTTGGTGAGTCGGGCCATAGAATAGCGCTCCAAATATTATCAATGGTGTCAGGACAACCTTTATGAAGTCGGAAAACCGAACACCAAAATTTGATGATATGACCAATTTGATAAGTTGGAGTTTTCACACAAAAGATAAGCTACGATTTGTAAGATTTTTAATAAGTCTTTTTTTGAGAAATCTATTATATTAAAACAGAAACACTTTCAGTGCTTGCTTCTAAACACTCCTAAAGTTTTTTTTATTTTTTTTTTATTTTTTATATAAATTTAATTTTGAAAATTTGATATTAATTTAGATAACTACGATTCCTTAAATATAGCTGATATTTAATTTAAAATTCAAATTATTTATTTTTTGTAACTAATTAAATTTTTTAAAATATATATTAATTTAAATTACTTTAATTTTTTTTAAATATAAGTTAGATTTAATTTAACATTTAAAATTTAAATAATATTTTTAGAATAACATATATGATTAATAAATTTCTTATTATATTTTTTAATCATATTCAATCACATTAAAATTTTACATATTAAAAACTAATAAATATTAATATTATATATTAATTTGATGGGATGGTTTAAGTTTTTTTTTCCTAATTATAATCTTATGCGGGTTAGGTTATCAAAATATGAAATATATTAAGAAAAAAATTATTTCAAAAATAGTAAATATCTATTATATTAAAACAGAAGTATTTTGAGTGCTTGCTTCCAAACACTCCTAATTATTTTTTAAAATATTTTATTTTATATATAAATTGAATTTCGAAAATTTGATATTAATTTAGATAAATACGATTCCTTATATATAGCTTATATTTAATTTAAAATTCAAACTATTTATTTTTGTAATTAATTAAATTCTTTAAAATAGATATTAATTTAAATTATTTAAAATTTTTTTGAATATAAGTTAGATTTAATTTAACAAAAAAAATAAATAATATTTTAAAAATAACATATATGATTAATAAATATTTTATTATATTTTTTAATCATATTCAATCAGATTAAAATTTCACATATTGAAAACTAATAAATATTAATATTATATGTTAATTTGATGGAACGGTTTAAGTTTTTTTTTATTTATAATCTTATACGGGTTAAGTTATCAAAACATGCAATATATTAAAAAAAAATTTATTTCAAAATTAGTAAATATTTATATTATATGGTAATATGAACAGGCGGGTTAGAATTATTACTTCATAACCACGATCATTTTCAGATTAATAGAATGAGCGAGTTTGAAATATATTTTTACAACGGTCATTTTTTTATTAATAGAATGAGTGTGTTAGAATTATGTTATTATGATCATGGTAAAAATAATACTAAAAAAAAAAATTATATCTAAACAGAAAAATTATTTAACACTTATTAAAAAATTATATCTATAAAAAATATAAATTACATTACAAATTTAGATTTATAAAAAAAATATCGTGCAGATGCACGGGATAAAATCTAGTTTATTTTATTAATAATCAAATGTAATTCTCAACTCGGAGCTAAATAGATTTTTCTAGATCCAACTGACTAGAACTTTCTTCTTTGGAGAACCCCTCACTCTTTAGTCTTTATACTAGATTGTTTTTTTTAAATGTTGGAAAATATGTGTGTTCTTGCGGCTATTAGTTATGAGTTTGGTAATGAAAATAAAAATTCGTCTCGTGCTTACTCTCATTCTTTTACTTTAAAATAAAAATTCGTCTCGTGCTTACTCTCATTCTTTTACTTTATCATCAACAACAGATAACAACAATTGAAATCATTTGAGCCCACATTCACAAGGCATTTCAAATATGAAATCACCTAAAAAATAACAAAAATAAAAGACATAATCAATCACTGGGATTCGAGCTTTGAAGATGGAAAATACCCACTGGAATCAAACAATTACTTGCCATACGGATCACTAGATCCTTTGCTTACTTCCTCGTACGTTCTCGAACTGGTTGCCGAATCTAAGTTAGGTTTTAGTCCCGCAAGCTGCATTATGTTCTCAATCTCTTTTACAACGTCACCCATCGACGGTCTCCTTACTCCTTCATCCTCCACACAACTCAAAGCAAGATCTACATACTTCTCAAACCCGTTCAGGTTCTCGCTGCTTGCAATGATCTTTGTGTCCAACAGTTCTTGCAGGTCATACAAGTTCCTAGATTTATCCATCTTCGTCTTCACTTCTCTCACCACGTATTTTCCTCCATCTATCGGACTTTTACCCGTTAATAGCTCAAGCATCACCACACCAAATCCATACACGTCGCTCTTCTCCGTCAGTTGATTCGTCATGTAGTACTCAGGATCCAGGTAGCCCTAATTCCAGAAAAAAATGTGAGTTTGCATGTGTCTGAGAAAGAGAGAAAAAGAGGATGATTGATTCTCTACTCACCATGGTTCCTTTCACTTGTGTTGTCACATGGATTTTCTCAGGGTCTCCCACTAGCTTGGAAAGGCCAAAGTCGGCAACCTTTGCAGTTAGACTTTCATCAAGTAATATGTTATTTGATTTGATGTCTCTGTGTATGATTGGAGGATCAGCAAGCTCATGAAGATAAGCCAAGCCCTTGCCTGATCCAAGTGCTATTTTAAGCCTTCTTGTCCAATCTAATATAATGCCACTCTTCCCTACATTATCATTAAATTTAGCACTTAAGAGCTATTTGAATTCCTTAATGGAAGAGAGAGGTTTGATATTACCTGATAGACTGTCTGTAAGAGAGCCATTTGGAATGTACTCGTATACGAGCATTTGTTCAGTTCGATCAAAGCAGAAGCCTAAAAGTCTAACAACATTCTTATGATGGACTCTTGAGAGAAGCTCGATCTCAGTTTTAAACTCTAACTCCCCTTGCGAAGATCCTAACTGGGCTCTTTTGATTGCTAGGAGTTGGCCAGAGGGGAGAATCCCTTTGTACACCTGTTTAACGATCATATTGGGATATCAATTCAGCTAATGCGATTGCGTATTTCAAAAGAGGCCATTCAAGGACACAAACCTGGCCATAACCTCCTCCCCCAACATCATTTGCCTTTGAAAAATTGTCAGTGCATTTCCTCAGCTCTTCAAAAGTAAAGGCTTTTGCTCCCATTAGTTGTGGAGCATCGATACTACTTTTACTCTTATTCCAATTGGCTGCAAAAAATAAAAAATAGAAAAATAAACTGTCAGCATTTTCATCATTCAATGGAAGAGTCTTTTGGAGGAGTAAGAACATTTCTCTTTACCAAAAGGATTATTCTGACCAGCTGCTCTTTCTGCTCGCTTCTTCTGCCTAAGAGCGTATATCCCAGCTATAGTTAAGAACAACAAAAGAACCGCGGCACCAACTACTGCTCCGATGATAATGCCTGTGTTCGCAGACTTGGAACCTCCTCCTACATGCATGGCAAAAAAAAAAAAAAAGACGGAGAAGGAGTTATATGAAACCAACTTTAGACCAAGTTTAATTAATTGTGTGTGTGTGACTTGTTTCATTATACCAGAGAAAGGAATGTACTGATTGGCTTTGAAAATGTAAGGTCCAAATATCGGTGGAGGCTTATAAGTATGTGTGCTAAAGGCAGAAATAACACTATCCATTCCCATCTCAGTGAATGTTTCTTTTCCCAATGGAAAGACCAAAAGATCTATTAGAAGCTGATGATCAGTTGCAGTCTCTCTTATGTTTCTGATGGCAACAGAGTCAACTTGATTACTGAAGTTCTTAAAGAAATCTGCTATCCCTTTCTGGAGTATTATGAAGTTAGTGTTGTTGGAAAACCCTGAGAAAGAAGGAGATCTGAAGGTGAGTATTCCTGTTATTGGATACACACAGTGACATGCTGGACTCGGCTCTTTTCCCTGACCACAATGAGAACATTTTATCTCAGGGGTCGAAAATGAGGTATTGTATTGGATTGCTTTACAGTAGTCATTCTGCTGGTTCCCTTCCTCTTGGCACAGTGGATTATCTGCCAATCTGTTGATATATCAATACGAATAAGTAATTGTTCACAAAAAATCATAAATTGCCTTGTGACAGTTCTACATACATTACTTGGATGCGTTTATTAACTGCTGGTTTATAATTAGTTATTTCATTGTTTTGTAGATCCACAAACTCCAACTGGTTGCTATAGTTGGCACCAAAGTCTAATGTTGCATTTAACTGATTTCGCTTTAGGACACTGCAAATGGAGAAATTAAAATCCCAATTAGTAGAGATTTTACAATTCGAGTTGACTTTTCTAATCAAAGGTTCATGTACAGTTTTACTCACACAGTCTGCAATAGGATCGGACTAAAGAGGAAAATTGGTATTGAACCTTCGAGTTGGATCCCTTCCATCCTTCTGCCAAGTAGAAGAACTCTTCGTAAGTGTGTACGCAAATATATATATAAAGAGAGAGAGAGACAGAGAGGGCGAGATTCGTACAATGTTGACAAGGAGCGTAATGAAGAGATCCAAGATGGAATGGATGAGAATGTCAATTGGTTATTGCTTACATCTCTGTTATAAACACATTCATATCAAGAATGAAGAAGGTTTGCGAAGGGTTGTGATGTTAAATTGAGCAGAAAAATAGGAAAAGTATAGAAAACTTACAATGTGTAGAGACTGGTCAAGCTGGTTAAATTTGGGAGGCTACCTGTAAATCTGTTGTTGGCCAAGTATCTGAAACGGATTCAACTACAAACTCGTTACCTCTTTACATTTTTTGGGTCAAACATTTATATATATGAAAAGGAAAAAAAACCAAAAAAACTCTAGTTTCTGGCTTACAGTTCGTAAAGATTTGTAAGATTATTAAGGCTTGAAGGAATATCTCCAGTTAGTCTATTCCTATCAAGGCGTCTGCAACGAAAGAGAAGAGCATATGAGATTACAGAAGTTAGGATAAGTAAACATTTGATAAATTATTTAGCACTTACAACACTGTCAACGTTTTAACAAGGCTGAGGCTGTTCGGGATTTTGCCCGTGAATTGGTTTCCATCAAATAGCCTACCAATAGAATAACAAAACAACACAGTCACCTACTTGTTACTACTCTTAGTTGGTGCAAATTGTCAGCTCTCACATGTACTATAAAACTTACACATGTATTAAAGTCATGTTTGAGGTAAAGAGCTTTTCTGGGATATCGCCAGATAGCTTATTATTCCCAAAATGACTTCAGGAAAGTGAAGGAGAGAGCGAGACTTATTATTATATTAAAAAGAGTGATTATATAAAGAAATATAAAGATTTAGATTATATATACAAATGCTTAGTTTCAAGAAGCATGTCAAGTCCAGGTGAAGAAGTCCCATTAGAAACTGGAACAGTTCCTTCGATCTGATTGTCAGCTATATCAAACCAAAATAATTTCGATAGTCGTCCAATGGATGCTGGAATTGTTCCACTAAATTTATTTGAATTCAGGGAGCTGTACGAAAGAGACAAATTTATACAAATGTGTTTAGAGACTGAAATTAAAAAAGAGACGGTTTATAGTAATAAGAAGCAACAAAATCTTACAGGGTTGTAAGTTGTTCGAGAGATCCTATTGATTCAGGGATTTGACCACTGAAACCACATCCCATAAGGTTCCTGTAAAAAAAAAAATGAGGCAGTTTCAATAAAGGCGATATGAAAAGGTGGTTAACAATAAGTTATGATCAGGCCCTGCTACATTATAAGATGGTTGAAGCCAGCGATTAAGGCATCTAATTTGAGAGGGACCTCTAACATATATTTTTTGTTAGACCTTTTTTTTATCAATGTTTATATATTTAAAAAGATTTATCTTTTTATAATATACAATAATAATATTTGTAACATTATTGAAAAATATTTGTAAATTTTTTAGCAATATTTGCAGGTTTTTCTATTATAATTATGGATTTATGGTTAATGATTTTACATACCATGATACAAAAAGTCATATTTAACAATATTTTTTTTTTCTTACAAACAGTTTATATATTGTTAAGCTTATTTTTTCATATAATATTATTATTTGTGATCTTATATAATATTTAAATATATAAGTCTTTTAAATTTGCATAGAACATCATAAAACTTATGGTCCAATTGACCGACACTGGTCATGATCTTGTTTGCTTACAATGTATTCAACTTCTTGAGGTTACCGATATTTGGTGGAAGTGGTCCAGACAATTTAGGATTGGATGTCAGATCCCTACAAACATTGGATCATAAAATGAGAAAAATAATCCATTTTTATGTAAAGGAAGAAGAAGAAAGACCTACAAAATCTGCAATTCAGCTAACGCCGAAATATCGGCTGAAAGCTTTCCTTCCAAGTTAATGTTTCCCAATGATCTTCAACAAGCAACAGCACGCGTTAAAGTTTGCAGAAAATAATTGGAAGAAGTGCACACAGAAAGAAAACAGAAGTTGTTACATTGAAACGATACGGTCATTGCTACACGTAATTCCAACCCAATTGGTTCCACAAGGATCAGAGCCTTTCCAACTTTCAGGAAACCTGCTCCAATCACTCTTCAGGGCTTGTAAAGCAGAAGCTGCACCAATTTCGACACTAAGTAAGAGATTGTGACATTTTTATATCTGAAAAAATCTGATCATCATCTTTACTATACTTACCGTCTGAACCATTTGTTAGCGCAGAAACAAAGCAATTTTGAAAGAAAAGCAAGGTCAGGAGCATGCAGACTCCAATTCTTGAACTCATCTTAAGACGACAAAGCTTTTTTCTCCCCTTTTTCTTGTTCTAAAGTAAAGCCTCCTCGCTAACAAAACATGTAAGCAAATAATTAACGGAAAAGAAGACTAAGACATTGAACAATTTAAAAGACAAATATATAAAAATAAATGGACAGTGGACTATATAAAAACCTGATCAACTCTAGACAGCTGAGCTGATAGTGGGATTAACGGAATGTTTCAAAAGCTGTTAGATAAAAATGTCAATAGGTTAATGGAAAGGAATAACTAAAAACAATACAATAATACATTAAAGAACACACTAGCTAGCTAAGATCCGCGTTATGCGTGAGACTAATGACTTAATCAAAAATAAGAATAATATAGTGACCAAATTTTTTAACTATTACCATGATTTCATCAAGATGAAATTTGATTAAAAATTTTAATGTTTTGAAAACTAACCCATGATTTAAATTTTTTGGAAACTAACCTTTTTATTAAGTAAAAAGACAATACTACCTAATAAAAAGTATTGTCTTTGAGTTATACAAATACCAAGTGATTTTGTTCTTCAAACCAAGTAGTAACCAAGGTTTGTGCTCCAGTTTATGACATTTGTTTGCATCTTGTGCAATGTGTCTCCAGAATCGGTTTTTCATATCAAGTTTTTTAGTTTCTAGGTGACAAATAATATGTAAGTCCTACGGTACAATTTCTAATTAGCTTTAGGAAAATATTTTCCTTTACTAAGTAGGATTATGATCGGGTTTTGAATTTTACAAATACAAGGTCTTAAGGTTTAAATTATTCATTCATACGATTAATAAAAAATATCATAAATAGATGTTTGTCTCAATGTGCGATTTTTCTCTTGCTTTTCCAGAGATGACTAAATAATGAACGGTGTATTAGAGGCGTTATACAAGAGGAATTTGCGTGCCCATAACAATACTGTATTGTTTTCAATATCTATTTACCACTAAGATAATATATATATATATATATATATATATATATATATATATATATTATGTTAAAAAATTGGCCGTTTAGGCGTTAGTCGGCCCGCTGCAGCAGCTGCACCTTGACCCAAGTCGGAGAGTTTAGGCGGTGAACCAATTTCCGACTGTCTAATAACTATGGATTTTTAAAAGATCGACTATTTATTAAAAAAAATTAGTCCAAAATGATTATTTTTTTTAAGTAAGGTCCAAGAACCAAAGTGGATAATATTTTTTATTCCTATTCTTTTTAAAAAATGACATAGTTTTGTGTTTGCCTAATTATCTATTTCAATGCCTCTATTTTAAGTTTTCAACCTAATCCCAAATTAATGATTTCAATTTTGTACAAATCATGATGAAATCACGATGAAATCAGGATGAAGTCAATACAAAATCAAGCATAATCAACTTCAAACTCCTTTATCATCTACAAATCGAGACCAAATCAAGCTTCTACATCATCTATAAAGTCTTCCTTTTCATTTTCGAGGTAACAATCTCTCAGTTCAACTTTCAGATTATTGTGCTTTGGGCACATTGTTCTGAATCTTCTGATCGTCACTCTTGTGAGAACACACTGGTTCTGCTTTAGTTTATTGATTCATCTTCCTCTCCACTTGTTTTCTTTTAAAGACATGTATGTTCTGTCTTTGTCTTTGTTTGTTGGGTAAGAAAAAAACATAGCGCATTCTGTTTTTGGTTTTGTTTTATGTGTTTCTGACTTGGTTTATTGGTTGCTAACTTGCTATGATGTGCACTTTTCAGATAGGGAAGTAATGGATAACGCACCAACTGAAACTGAAAGCTCCTCTTAAGCAAAACTCAACTGATCTGGGATAGGAGTATGGAGTCTTGTGTGATGTGAAGAATCAAGACAAAGTGAGTGTATACTGTGTGGAAAAGAGGTCTCCGGTGGAATTTACAGACTGAAGCAACACATTGTACATGAAAAAGGGGCTGTGGCGTCTTATCCAAAATCAAGTCAAGAGGATAAGGAGAAGTGTATGAAGGCACTTAGTGAAGCGAAAGACGAGAAAGGTATGAAAAGAAAACATGAAGAAGCTTTGCGGGCCGAGGTTGTAACGTCCCCGATCCGCAATAAGGTCGCCGGGACGGACCATGGCCGTGATGTGGGGAATAATGACCGAGAATCTAAGGAAAATACGAGCCATGGTCCGGAATGATGGTTAAGTCTAGTTAATGTGGGACTTAGCCAGGAAAAAGGAGAGAAAGATAGCTCAGTAAGGAGGATCGAGCTAAAGATGAGTTGGAAAGGTGAGCTAAGCTAGCTGGACCAGCTGCCGGGAAGCTCAGCTCAGCTGGATTGAGAGTAAGACAGTTGGTCTAGCTGAGTGGCCAGTGAACTAGCTGGACTGGGGTGGTTATGGGCAGTTATGGCCGAAGGGTTGCAAAGTCTATGCGCCCAATCAATGCACCTGTTCGGCCAACAACTCGCGCCTGTTTGCCCAAAGCGGTTACCGCAAGGGAAAGTCTATAAATAGACCCCTTGGGCCATATTTTCGGGCACGCACAAACAGGGAGATAAACTCTGCCCAAATTTCTACCAAACCGTGAGATTAAGGCAATCCGAGAGAGAGAAATAACTTGACCGGCGGTGAGAAAACCGACCGGAGCGGTTGGTGCGGGTTGCGGAAGAAAGAAGAAGGAAGGGAAACGTGGCAAGAGCAATCGACCGCGGGAATACTAAGGTGCGTTCTATTAGTAGATGCATATGGTTAAACTATTGCACCGCCGGACGAACCGAACGATCGACCCAAATATGGGCTAGGCCGATCAGACGGTAAGTGGCGGCTTAGGCGATAAGGATCCACCGAGCGCGCCTAACGATCAGCCAAAGTATGGGCTAGGCCGGTCTGATCGCGAGTCTCGGTTGGATTTATAATAAAGGTCACCGGCCATGGAATTGAGATTGGGCCGGCGATGATGTGCGATAGGTCGTATGGATGTAGGCCGGATCCGGTTGATGCGACGGTTGAGCGGCTTGGGAGACAGAACGGATCTCGCCAAGACTCGGCCTGTCTAAGGCTGACCCATGATCCGGAATAGAATAGTTTACCGTGGGTTATAGTCGGGGTCGGGAATCATAAGCATGAAATGCATACATGTGCATAAATAATACTTAGCCAAAATAGCGAGTACTTATGATGTTGGTTTACAGGAAACAAAGAACACGGAAAGGAAAGAGGATAGGCGCGCAGACCGTTTAGCCAAGGATGATGGGTGGTGTGATAGAACAGATAGTTAGGATCATGCGAACTTATAATAGCTTATATGCAAACTCTTAAGTTGTAGTGAATCCTTTATTATATCAATAAAATATATGGTCTCTTACTTGTTTATTACTTATCGACTCTAAGTTAGTGAATCTCAGAATACATACATCGAACATGGATTAAATAAAGGACTAGATCCTAAAAACGGACTGAAGGGGTCGGAGCCATATAGTGGCCCGACCGGGAACAACCTCCACGGGCTTAGAGTCTGGGATGGGGTGTTTCAGAGGTGGATATTGAGAGGCAAGCCACTGATGAAATTTATGGAAAGCTTGGAAGTTTTCGACCACCTCATTTCCAAGGTCCTATAGATAGGTTTGCCACCTGCATTGATCCAGAAGCTTCTTTAGAGCATCTCCAACCCACTTCTATTTTTGACTCTAAATGCTATTTTAGAGGAAAATCCTCTCCAACTCACCTCTATTTTCACCTCTAAAATAAAATTTCTCTATTTTTTTCTCTATATTTGGAAAACCTCTATTTTTTACTCTAAAATAGAGTTGAACTTTTTTTATTTATAAATTAGTCCTTTAAATTTTAATTCTTTTATTTATGACTAAAACAAACAATATAAATAAAATCAAATTTAACAATAAAACTTAACAAAGTAAATTTCAGATATATTATACCTGAAAAAATCAATATTTGATAGAAATCTTATTCATTTTGACATAGAAAAGACTAGTGACTTAATACATTAATGGCAAGAAAAAATTATAGTGAGAGTGATTTTAAACCAAAATGTACTATGTTTTTTTTTTTCATTTTTAGTTGATATAATGAATTTTAATTATTGAATAAAGATTTATTTTAGTTATATCATAATGTATAAAAGTTTTGTAAAGAATAAAATAAGTGGGATTAAATTGTATATATTTACAAACAGAAGGTATTAATAATAAAATAAAAATAGAATATACTTAGAATATTCTCTTTTTAGAGCTAAAAATAGAGAAATACATTGGAGTAAAACTCACCTCTTTTATAGAGTTCCTCTATTTTAGAGTCAAACATAGACGAATACATTGGAGATGGTCTTAGTTAGCCAGAAACGACAACAGAGTATCCATGATGCAATTTCAAAAGAAAAGACACATATGGTATACCAATATTGTGCTTGGTGGCTCTATCACGTAAGTATTCCAATCAATGCAATTGGTAATGAACCAATGTGTAGCATTGGGACAATTTGGGCCAAGTTGGGGTGCCTCCAAGTCAGTATCAGTTAAGGGAAATGATGCAAGATGTGGGTAATTCCTAACAAGTTTTACTTTAAATTGATTAACGAGGCTGCAAGTGCACAACTGATCAGTTGAGTACTTAGGGATTGAATTCCAATGGATTTGTGTGCCTAGTGTTTTTCCAGATTTCTAAGTTTCTGTCTAGAATAAATCGATTTTAAGAGGTTTGGGGTGTGTCACTATCTAAATAATCAAAAGAAAGCAAATAAAACTATCCTAGAAAACAAGCAAATATCGTATGAATGCAAATGAAAGTGAAGATCTAAGAAAGCAGGTAAGTAATCGAAGTTGCAAACAATATTAAAAACTCTGGGCTTTCGGGAACTCTCTAGAGAATCATAATCGGTATAAAAAACTAAGGTTTTAGATTGGGTTTTTTCGGGTGATATAAATATCTAGGGTTCTAGAGCGAGAGTACGGCGGTATGACTATGTCACTCTCGTGATCATAACCAACTGTCACTCACGACCCTGACCTGTAGCTATCAACCCTGGCCCCGACCATAAGTGTACGCAATAGCTTGCACAAGACTCATCAGTACTCACGCTTCACCTATAGGTAGCTTTCGGCTCCTATGTTGAAGAAAAGCTTCTCTATAGATGAATCCAAGGTTGAGAATTCTTCTCTACAAATCCTTGAAATGACTAAGAGAGTTGTCTCTATAAAAAAGTATAAAAGAGATATCTAAAAATGACATAACTGACAAGTATTTATAGTCTTTAGTACTCCAAGACGTCTAGGGCTTTGGAATTAAGGTCGTAAAATGACTTGGGCTTCATAATTGGGCTTTTTGATTTGGAGATGGCGAGCCGCGGTTGCGTGATGTGTGACTGTGGAGAGGAAGGGCTTGGCCACTCTCGCGTGGTCCTAGCTGCGGTGAATGGTTGGCCAGCCCCGGTCGTGTGACTTCGAGGCAGTCCTCAATTATAAATGCTAAGAGAATCAAGGGTTACTTCTAACTTCACGTTTTAAATTTGTAACCCTAAATATCTGCAAGTGCACAGATGTACGCTGTAGTACTTAGGGGTCGAACCACAGAGATTTTGAGCTTTCAGTACGAATCAATCAAAACTTAAGACTAGTAGAACAAGCAAAATGGGGGGGGGGGTTTGGTTTTGGTATCACTAAATCTAAATGCAAATGAAATGAATAGGCTGGAAAACAATAAGAACTATACGCTGGGTCTAAAAGGTTTTCGCAGGGGTTCATGAACTGATCAAAAGACAAACAAATCGTTAAAGGTAATCATCTAGTGAGGATCCCGAACTAGAATAGGCGCGTGTATGATTAGCCAACTATCGCCACCCTAATCAACAAATCACTCAACTCGGCAATTAACTCTTGCTCTCATGCCGCGAATAAGATCATACATTAAAAACAGATTTTGTCCACGCTCGCGATTCTCTATAGGCAGCTTTCGTCTCCTATAGCGATTTCGCTCGATCACTTCTAGGTCTGGTAATTCGATACAGCAGTCTCGTGGCTCAACCTACTGAGATCAGTTTCTAAGCGGCTAGCAATAGAAACAACATATGGAACAAGAATGAACGAAGGACTCGTAGAAGATTAATAACCCTTAATCGAACAAAGCATATGATCAAGACATGAAATTCCCTTTGAAAAATCCCTTACAAACCCAACTGGGAAATTACTCAGATATAATTGAGTTCAACATCATAAAATTATTTAAAATTACAGAGAATAAAATAGACAAAGGTTAGAAAGGAAGAACAGAATGAAGCAGGATGGTCGATGGTGCCCTTCTCAGTGGCTCCTCTTTATGGCGAGTCTCTCGCTAGGGTTGAACAGTGTGGTCACTAAAGGAGTTTTGTATGCTGTCCGATAGGCCCAAAGTGCATTGTCGAGTTTTCAGACCAATCCTTGCGATTTACACCAGTTGTCTTTTGTGAAATCGATTTGTTCTCTCTGTTAGATATTTCCACTTGTCCACTTGTCCGAGGGTGATATGGAGATGCAACTTTATGCGTGACCCCGTTCTTTTTGAGCAGATTTTTGAAAACTTTGTTGATGAAATAGGATCTCCCATCGCTTATCATAATCCAAGGTATTCCAAAGTGAGGGAAAATAATTGACTTAAACAGCTTCATAACAACTTTTGCATCATTAGTAGGGCTGGAAATTGCTTACATCCATTTAGAGACATAGTCTACCGCTACTAAGATGTATTTGTTTCCAAAAGAAGTTGGGAAAGGTCCCATGAAATTAATCCCCCATACATCAAATTTCGGCTTCGAGAATGAAGTTTTGAGGCATCTCATTCCTCTTACTGATGTCGCCCATTCGTTGGCATGAATCGCAGCGTGAGATGTAGGCGTGAATGTCTTTGAAAATAGTAAGCCACCAAAATCCTGCTTGAAAGACTTTTGAAACTGTTTTGTAGGTTGCAAAATGTCCTGCATATGCTGAATTATGGCATCCAAACAGTATTCCTTCCATTTCTTCTTTGGCGACACACCTTCTGAATAAACCATCTACACATCTTCTATAAAGAAAAGGTTCATCCCAGAAATAGTGCCGAACTTCCCTTAAGAATTTCTTTTTTTTTTATAGCCAAAGAAATGTGGAGGTTCGATGTCTGCAGCTAAGTAATTCGCTATGTGCCTAAACCATGGGGTGTCAAAAGCATCCCACCGTCGTATAGGAGGTTGGGATGGCTTTTCTTGCACTGTAATAGGTATAGTATCCATAGCGTAGACATTTTCTTCTGGCAAACTGTCATTCAAAGGAAGTTTCTCTTCCACTCGAATTCTATAAAGACGATCTGCTACTCCATTATCTGCTCATTTCCGATCTTTAATTTCAATATCAAACTCTTGCAGCAAGAGTATCCATCTGATCAGCCTTGGTTTGACATCTTTCTTAGACATGTGATACTTGATTGCAGCATGGTCAGTATGAACGATGACCTTAGACCCTACGAGATAAGATCAAAACTTTTCAAATGCAAAAACGACAGCTAAAAGCTCCTTCTCCGTAGTCGCATAATTGTATTGAGTTTCATCCAGAGTTCTACTCGCATAGTAGATTGCGTGCAGTTTCTTTTCTTTCCGCTGACCAAGCACAGCTCCGACAGCAAAATCACTTGCATCACACATGATTTCGAATGGTTGTTCCCAATCGGGCGGCTGCATAACTGGAGCAGAAACAAGAGCGTTTCCATGTAGAGCAGATGTGTAAGAGGTCTAGCATGGAAACGAACTTCGACAAGTGAATGTCGTCTTTTCTTGATTTTCTGGTCTAATAGGAATTTGGAAAAATCTGGAGTAACCGTCTAAAAAGCAGTAGTATTCGTGATTTGCTAATCTTTATAGCATTTGATCAATGAAGGGCAAATTAAAATGATCTTTCCGAGTTGCTGCATTCAGGTTTTGGTAATCGATGCATATTCGATGTCCTGTTACTGTTCTTGTAGCGATCATTTCATCCTTGTCATTTTTGATAACAATTACTCCTCCTTTCTTTGGGACAACATGCACAGGACTAACCCAAGTGTTGTCCGAGATAGGGAATATGATTTATGCTTCCAAAAGTTTCATGATCTCCTTCTTTACTTCTTCCATAAGGTTTGGATTCAATCTCCTTTGGCTTTCAATCGAATTTTTGGCATTGTCCTCAAGATTTATCTTGTGCATACAAACATCTGGCGAGATTCCTTGTATGTCATCAAGAGAATAATCTATGGCTTTCCTATGCTTCAGTAACTCATTCAACAACATAGCAGTTTCAGCTCTGCTCAGACCGGAATTTATGATGACAAGGTAAGTTGAATTCGGTCCAAGAAAAGCATACTTGAATCCATCAGGAAGAGGTTTAAGCTCAACTTTTGGGCTTTGAGTTCACTCCATGGGTCGTTTATAGCTACCAAGGTATCTTTTGGAGGGGTAGGGATGTGAGTTTCCTCATTCAGGTTTAGGTAGTTCACAAGTTTCAGATAATCCTTGGCTTTATCAAGCATTTGCGCACAACCTTTCGAAACTTCTTGGAGTAGGTTGCGATCATCATTTGTGGTGGTGAGGATGATTTTTAAACGATCGTCAAGAAGGAGTTCTCCATAAACTTCCTCATTGAGTTCATAAAGCTCATCAATCCAGAAAAGTCTGCCATCTAAAGTGGGTTTCCCAATACTTTTGTTCATATCAAACTTCATAATCAGACTCCATAGATGGAGGTCTATCTTTCCTTCCAGAACATTTATTATTTCCACTGCAGTTGATAATAAAGGTCTACTGAGTATTAGAGAATCCTTTGGTTCTTTTTCTAATTCAAGCACTACGAAATCATTCGGAATACAGTTTTCTCCTATCATGACTGATACATCAACCAAGACTCCTTCCGGTTGTCTGACTGATCGATCGCAAGAATAAGTGAGATTTTTGTGGGCTGGAAAGTATTATATCTTTTTGCAACTGAGAGTTGCATCAATGCTTGATCCCAAATCACAGAGAGAACGAAAGTCATATTCCTGATTGTGCAAGAGAGTACAAAACTTCTCAGATCTTCTTTCTTCTAGGGGACATGGTTTTGTAAGATGGAACTACATTCATGAGTTATCATCATAACGCCTTCTTCTAATGCTAAAGAATTTGTTAGAATGTCATTCATGTATTTCCTAAGAGCAGGTATCATTGCACAAGCTTCAATGAAAGGTAATCTCACATTTAATTACTTGATTATCTCTTTTAGCTTAGCCCTTTCTTTCTCCTTCTTGGCTAAAGAATAAACGAAGAACATAAATAAACTCCAACATTTAAAAACCTAGATATCTCAATATGAGAGCCCTTTTCGGGAACCCTATGCCCAACTCGGGATCTACTCAGACATAGCTGAGGTCGACATCATCATTGGTTTTAATGAAAGCAATTAAAAACAATAAAGAAAAGAGATGAAGAAAAGCTTCTCTATAGATGAATCCAAGGTTGAGAATTCTTCTCTACAAATCGTTGAAATTACTAAGAGAGTTGTCTCTATAAAAAGTATAAAAGAGATATCTAAAAATAACCTAACTGACAAGTATTTATAGTCTTTAGTACTCCAAGACGTCTAGGGCTTTGGAATTAAGGTTGGAATATGACTTGAACTTCATACTTAGGCTTTTTGATTTGAAGATGGCTGGCCGCAGTCATGTGGTCCTAGCTGTGGTGAATGGTTGGCCAGCCCCGGTCGCGTGACTTCGAGGCAGTCCTCAATTATTGATGCTAAGAGAATCAAAGGTTACTTCTAGCTTCACGTTTTAAATTTATAACTCTAAATATCTGCAAGTGCACAGATGTACGATGTAGTACTTAGGGGTCGAACCACAAAGATTTTGAGCTTTCAGTACGAATCAATCAAAACTAATTAAGACTAGTAGAACAAGCAAAATGGGGGGTTTTTGGTTTTGGTATCACTAAATCTAAATGCAAATCAGATGAAAAGGCTGTAAAACAATAAGAACTAAATGCTGGGTCTAAAGGGTTTTCGCAGGGGTTCATGAACTGATCAAAATATAAACAAATCGATAAAGGTAATCATCTAGTCAGGATCCGAACTTGAATAGGCGTGTGTTTGATTAGCCAACTCTCGCCACCCTAATCAACAAATCACTCAACTCGGCAATTAACTCTCACTCTCATGCCGCGAATAAGATCATGCATTAAACACAGAATTCGTCTATGCTCGCAATTCTCTATAAGTAGTTTTCGTCTCCTATAGCGATTTTGCTCGATCGCTTCTAGGTGTGGTAATTCGATACAGCACTCTTGTGGCTTCAATTACTGAGATCAGTTTCTAAGCGACTAGCAACAGAAACAGCATAGGAAACAAGAATGACTCCTAAAAGATTATTAACCCAAAATCAAACAAAGCATATGATCAAGACATGAAATTCCCTTTGAAAAATCCCTTAAAAACCCAACTGTGAAATTACTCAGACATAATTGAGTTCAATATCACAAAAGTATTTAGAATTGCATAGAATTGAAATAGACAAAGGTTAGAAACAAAGAACAGAATGAAGGCAGGAGGGCCGATGCTGCCCTTCTCGCTTGCTCCTCTTCACGGCGAGTCTCTCTAGGGTTCCTTGGCAAAATGTGTCACACCCTTCTAAATGACTTGAGTCCTTGGGAGCGCCTAGGACTTGCAGGAATAATGATGGGAATGACTTGGGCTTTAAAATGGGCTTCTGAGGCTTGGAAATACGCTCTCCGCGGTCTATAATGTCGCACCCCCGGTGGATGATGTTTTGGCCACGTGTGAGCTTTTGACTGTGTTGATTCACCTACCATATCTAGAGATCTAACCGTTGGATTGCTCTGATTCCACTTGCATTGGAAAGCTCGTTGTCTCCTATAGCTTGTGTCCAAATTTTGGAATGATCAGACGGTGCGAAAGCCTCCATTTGTTTCTAAAATTTCGACGATCTGAATTTATCCAAAGTTGTGCTTTTTACTCCCAAGTGCATTCTTTTTTGTCAAAATATCCTGAAAACTCTTTTGAGATTTTAAAACATGGAAATTTCTTAAAAACCTATAAAATTGAGTGAAAACACCTGCATAAGACATTGGAAGTGATCCATAAAAGTGGTCAAAATCTGGTGTTATCAATTATCTCCGGAGCAAATGGAATATCTTGAGATCCAACCGTTTGAATGTCTCCAAACCAATTGCACTTGAAAGCTGGTAGAGTTTTCTGTTAAGTGTCTACTTTTGGGGATGATCAGATGGTGAGAAGGTCTTTGTTTCTCCTTGAGAGTTCTGACGGTCTGAATTTATTCAAAAGTACTTTTTTGTTCCAATTTGCACCTATTTCTCCTAAAGTTACCTAGAAAGTCTTTTTAAAATCCAAAAACATAACGTTCCTGATGAATTAGAAGGCTATATATACTCGTTTTAGGTCATTCTAATGACCAAGCTGTGTATAGAGATCAAGGAAGAGAGCCACACCTTTGGAGTTGCCTATTTTGCCTTCTTTTACACTCTCTCCTCTATTACCCTAGACTAGGTGGTAGCTATTACTTATAAGCCGAAGTACCTTACTACACTAGCTCTATTTTGTTGGAACTAATATTGACTTAATTTTCTCGTTGAAGACATTAAACCAAGGAAATGATTCATACATTCAGAACTTCTTATCCTTTTTACCACTCTATACTGATCCTAAATGGCTAGTTCATCTTTAGTTAGTTTCCCACCTTACCATATCTCTTTCGAATCCCATGCACTTTTTTTCTCATTTTCTTATATGCAGATATGTGCAAAAATCTCGGAGAAAAAGAAGACTGACGCAGTTTTCCATCACTGAAAACGCAGAGCTTATGATTTCTGGGAGTGATTCAACAGAGAAGAAAAGTTGGTTTGCCTCAGAAAAACTTCAGAATCATGGTATATTTTCGTGCCCTTTAGACTCTTTCTCAATAAAAGGTGTTTCCTCTTTTAAAAAAAGAAGAAAAAAAAAGAAAAATCAGAAAGGAAAGGAAATAAAAACCTTATGAGAGTCTTAACTTGGTTGATTTGTCTATGAGGCAACCTTGGTTCAATTATTTTTGGAGTCCAGAAAATCATCTTATCGATTCCCTGAAAAAATCAAAAGGAGGGAGTTTGCGACATCATCTTAGCAAGGAGAATTGCCTGGAAATTGTGGACATCAACAGGTTTGTTCTCGCATCCTCTACATCGTCAGGTAACTTGAAACACTTTACCTTCACCTTTTAAATTACCTTTTAATACCAAACACCGTCTAACCTGGATAATGAATTTAACGAGATTTAAGAAGTCTAGGTTTACCATGAAATTGCTTAATGAATGTAGAGAACTAGTTGACCGGAATCGAGATTTAAGTAGTCTAGGTTTTGCATGACGGAAACCGTGGACTAGGATCATTTATGTCTAATGAGAATTTTTTAGACTAGTGATAACACCGTATTTTGACCACTTTTATGGATCATAATTGTATCTTATGCAGGTGTTTTAACTCTGTTTTCAATGTTTTTAAAGTGGTTTCAATGTTTTAGAGTTTCAAAAGACTTTACAGGAAATTTGGGCAAAAGATATGCAATTTGGAACAAATGAGCAATTTTGGATAAATGCAGACCGTCAGAAGTATGACAAGCGATGAAGACTTTCTCACCGTCTGATCACCCCCTAAATTTGAGACAACATAGATGATCCAACCAGCTTTCTAATGCACTTGGTTTGGAGACAATCCAACGGTTAGATCTTCAGATACTCCCGATGCAAGAATGACATAAAATGCAGTTCCGAAGGAGAGCAGGTGTCGGGACCGCGGCAAACACCCATTTTCCCGTGGGTAGAGCCACCGCGACCGCGGACTTTGGTCGTTCACTTTCCCGACGACTTAGTTAAAGCCCAGATCAATTCCTTTCGTTATTTTTGAAGCCCTAAGTGTCCAGAACCACCTCAGAAGCTATAAATACCCCCTTTAGGTCATTCTAAAGGAGAGAGACCAATAGAGAAGAATAAAAACGAAACACAAGAGAGAGAGAGAGAGAGTTCGTGTGTTCCAAAAACCCTAGGAGCCGCCGCTTGAAGAAGGAGGAGCCGCCACTGGAGTGCAATCATCGCGCCTCCGTCCGCTTCTCCGTTCTTCGTTTCTCTTCCTTCTTTTCTTTAATTTCCTGCAACTTTCAATACTCTGTTATGATTGTTTACAATATGTTTGAGTAGTTACCCAGTTGGGTTTAAAGGTATTGTTCAAAGGGAATTTCATGTGTCTTTGCTTATGAATCGATAGATTAGGATTTCTAATCTTCTAGATGTTCTTCGTTTGCCTTTAATCTTACTGCGTGATTCTTTGCTGGCCACTTAGAAGCCGATCTGATATGATATGTTGCGAAAGCTTTCATTGATTGTCTGAACTAGGGTGAAACGAGCAATTCTTCTATAGGAGTGGAAACCTACCTGTAGTTGAGTTGTGAATATTGATGAGTCTTGTTCTGCTATTGCATCTTCTCCCTTCCAGAATCAGAGTGGAAACCTACTGATTAGGGTTGCGAGAGATAGTTGTTTAGTGCTGCGAAAGTAGGCTATTCATACTTCTGTGCCTTGAGTTCTAGAACATACGTAGTTGATTACCTTTATCACTTGTTTAAAATCGACATAGCATAGACCATGAACCCCTGCGAAAACCCCTTGAGCCCCAACGTTTGTCTTT